TTGTTCCCTATACAGTATTTTGGACGTATGTAAAAGGTTCTCAGTATGGATGCCAATTTACTCAAGTGCAACAGATAGACAAATGTTTGAATCTCCATCAGACGCAGATGGAAATCTTACTTTTCCTTATTAAAAAACATATCAGACCTTCTTTCTAAGCAAAAATCAATCTATATCAGTAATATACAAGTTCAACTTAGCGTGTAGTTTATATTAAAAATCAGCATTTTGAAGTTAGAAATGAGTTTTGTACTTTATATACATTTAGCACAAAACTTGATGCTAATAAATTGGGCATCTTGTTTTAAACAGACACCAGTTCATAACTTTCTCTACTCATGGATTCCAAACTGAAAAGGGCAAAATTCACTGGGTATTTATTCCATGAGCTGACCTGAAGATAACAATTTCACTGCTAACAGCATTGTGCAACTTGATGCCCATTTAAGCTTGACACATTCAGAGGCCACACCATACGGTTAAAATGAAACGGAGATGTGATGACTGCACCTTTTTTTGGGCTTGTGTATTTGACAAGTAATTGCTCACATTAGGCATTGGCAGTTTTCTTCGCCAGCAAACAAGTCAAACATTACAGAAAAACCCGCTGCTCCAAAATGTTATATTGTAAACATCCAGTCACAAAGAAAAAAAAGTTTAGACAGGCACACTTAGTACAAGAGTTTATGAAAGGTTTGAAGGATTGGTTATTTCCTGTGGTCAAAGATTAAGTGCTTCTATTCATTTTCATTTTTTAAAAAAATGGATTCTCCCCCAACCTGAAACATTCCAGAACAGAATTTGAAAATGGCAAAAATAATAAATGGAGCCTTCTAAATGCGGTCCATCACGAGAGATTTATTATATCCCTCAGTTTAGTCATGTAACACTATCCTCTTTTAGGTGGCAGGTTAAAACACTGTCAGGAAATCTGTTTGAAAAGTAATTATTTGCACTCATATCATTCACAGTCATATCTTATCATCTGTCATTTCCAGGAATTGGGCATAGACATCTCGGGTGCACTCGCCTTTGGTGTTGAATAAAAATTTGTAGTAGCTGCCATCTGCACAAATCGCTGAAATAAAACAGACCGGGTTACTGAATTTTAATGCTAAAGAAATTAGATTTCTATTCAGATAGTAGGAACTGCAGATGCTGGAGAATCTAAGATAAGGTGTAGAGCTGGATGAACACAGCCGGCCAAGCGGCATCAGAGGAGCAGGAAGGCTGACGTTCCGGGCCTAGACCCTTCTTTAGACCCTTGTTTCTGAAGAAGGGTCTAGGCCTGAAATGTCAGCCTTCCTGCTCCTCTGATGCCGCTTGGCCTGCTGTGTTAATCCAGCTCTACACCTAGATTGCTATTCAGCAGTTTTACAACTATCTGAAATTAAATAAGGGCTAAAACAATCGCAATTAACAGATTAAAAATACAGGTACAATCTCCGAAGTCCAGCACCCTCAGGACTAATACTGTGCTGGGGTTTGGATTTTCCATATTTACACGTCCAACTTGTACAGAGTCTAACTACTGCATCATTTCACAAGTATCTGGTACTGTAATTGATTTATTGCTTTCTTTGTTGACAGTTGTGGCTGGAGATACTCTCAAGATAACCAAGTATAAAACAGCATGTCAATTACCAGCCTTTCAGCAATGGCTGCTCCTGCTCAAGCTGACAAAAGCCAATATACAGCAACTCAAAACAACAAACTTTATTAGAAAAGTGACTGGATTGACTCAGACAACCGTACAATGGGAATTATACTTGTAGATAAGCATTTGGTTGGTTAATTCTGCCACCTTACAACTGTAGCAGAATGAGCTCAAAGACAGATATGTACGACTTCCAAAAGAAACTTCTGGTGGAAAACCAACTTTTCCTATTTTGCAAAACTATTCAAAATTTAAGCATTTGTCTCACTGCAGATTTAACTGCTAATGCCATTCTCCAGGTTTTCTAAACATTACAAGTTGTAATCTCAGATTTGAAATTCAAACAATTAAAGATTCATGGTAGACAAAGGATAGGAGAGTAGCTATTGTAAGATTTAAAAAAAAAAAAAATTGTGCGCAGGTAGGAAAATCCCCTGGAGGGGAATTTGGAAATAACTGTAGGACAGAAACACAAGGCCAATTTTATTCGTTCCTAGAAAGCAAAAAAAGAAAGTGTTTTCTTTGCATCCATTACAGGTTCAATTCAGGAAAAATAATAAGGGCTGTGAATGTGTGATATAGAGAGATTCACAGTCTTTATTATTTTGCTTGAATTGAACCTATAAATGAATGCAGAGTAAATATTGTTTGCTTTCTTAGAAGCAACAAAATTGGCCTTATTTTCTGTACCACAGTTATTTCCAAATTCATTTTCAGGAGATACCCGCACCTGCACAACATCAAGTATTACATTAGTTACTTTTCTATCCTGTGCCTACCATGAATCTTTTGTTTTAAGTGCCCTTGACATCAAGGCCTGCACTTGACCAGGTGTGGCATAAAAAGAACGCTACCAAAACTGAAGTCAATAGAAATCAGGGGCAAACTCCCTGCAAGTTGGAATCATACCTAACGCATTGAAAAGATGGTCACGGTTGTTGGAAGTCAGTCATGTCAGCAGGAGTTCTTCAGGGTACCTACTTTTTCTAATCAACCTGGTCAGGAGAGGATATTACATACTTCTCGAGCAGGTGGGACTTGATCCCAGGTCTCTCAGTCGTGGGGTAGGGAACAGTACCACTGCGCCACAAGAGGGCCCAGTTCCTCAATGTCGTGATCTAGGCCAAACCATCTTCTCCATCAGGTCAGAAGTTGGGATATTCAATAAATTGTACAAAGTAAGCACCATTCCTTACACCTCAGAAACAGAGGCAGTCATGTCCAAATGCAACAATACCTGGATAACATCCAGGCTTGGGCTGAAAAGTAGCAAGTAACATTCATGCCACGGGTACCAGGCAATGACTATCTCACTACCATTACTTCAACAGTGCTACTATCACTGAGTCTTAGCTCAAAACAACACTCAAGAAGCTTAACATCATCTAGGACAAAACAACCCACTTGATTGGCATCACATCCACAATCACCCACTTTCACCACCACCGAACTTCAGCAGCAGAATGTACCATCTACAAAGTGCACTGCAGAAATTCACCAAAGATCCCTAGACCACTCCTTCCAAACATGGGAACTCCACCACAATCAAGACCCCTCTAAGCCACTTACCACTCTGACTTGGAACAATATCACTGTTGTTTCAGTGCTGGTGGGTCATAATCCTGGAATTCCCTCCATAACAGTAGTGATGGTAAGTACAGCACATGAACTACAGTGGTTCAAGGTAGCAGCTCACCACCACCTCCGTCTCATGGGTACTAGAGACAGACAATAAATGCTGGCCCAGTAACGCCCACGTCCCATGAGTAATGAGAAAAGTTCTCAGCCTAAACAAAGTAAAACACAGGTGCTTGGATCATCCATTCTCCTCCGGTACATTTTTCAACAGCTGTTGAGAAACTTCAGCTGTATAGGTTCTAAAATTCCAGCTTTAAAAATGTTGCATTTGCAACTTTAAAAAATAAAGGTGACTGCAAGAAAATGGCAGCCCACAGATGTTGATTCAAGCTGAAAGATTTGATTCAGTTTCAAGTTTTATTATTAGTATTATTTCCTCTGGACTACAATTTACCTTTGAATTTTTAAAGGAAGCATGATAGGAGCATTGCTAATGATAAAATTGGGAGGTTCAGTTAGGATCCCAGAAAACTACTTATCCAAGGAGTTAAACTGTGTCTATTTGCTACTTGGTCAAACCATCAATAAAAGTCAATACCGCTTATTCAAAAGCTATTCCTTACACTAATAAAGTTACAACTGACTAGAGGTGAATGAATAGGTTTAGGAAAAAATGCTTAGGTAAGTTAATGAATAAATCAGCAAAAAACATATTTAACAATGAGTTTGTACCCTCTAGCATTTCTACACAATTTAACTCCAATGTGCAATGGCATTGCACAAGCCTAGACTCAAGACAGAGCAGCTAAAATGTTGCTATAAAAACTCAAAACATAAACAAGGACTGTTATGGAACAGGATTGGTACTTTGAAAGTGAGTGACTTAGATGAGAAATGCTGAACTTATCAGGGCAAGCATCAAGGAAATAAAGTCAGTTTATTTCTTGAACCATCAAGTCTAAATCTGCCCTTTCAACTCAAAAAAAGCTCCCAATTTAAATTTTATATTTTACAACTATAAAAAAATCACTACAGTCATAGAGTCAGAGATGTATAGCAAGGCAACAGACCCTTTGATCCAACTTGTCCAAGCCAACCACATATCCTAAACAAACCTAATCCCATTTGCCAGCATTTGGCCCATATCCCTCTGAACGCTTCTTATTCATATACTTATCCAGATGCCTTTTAATTGTTGCAAATGTACCAGCGTGCACCACTTCCTCTGGCAGCTCATTCCACACATGCACCACCCTCTGCATGAAAAAGTTGGCCCTTGGGTCCCTTTTAAATCTTTCCCCTCGCACCTTAAACCTATGTCCTCTAGTTTTACCCTATCCAAGTCCCTCATGATTTTATAAACTTCAGCCTCCAATGCTCCAGGAAAAATAGTCCCAGCCTAATCATTTTGTCCTTATAACAAACCCTCCAACCCTGGCAACATCCCTATAAATCTTCTTTGAACCCTTTCAAGTTTCACAACAACTTTCCGATAGCAGGGAGGCCAGAATTGAACAGAGTATTCGAGTAGCAGTCTAGGCAGTAGGCCACGATTTTGACATATGGACAGAGCTTTATGTGGCTTCTTGCAAAATGGGAAGTTTTGATTATTTTCAAGTCTTTGGTGAAAGAATAAACAAAAAATCATTAAATTTAAAAAGGACTGCTTCAACATAGACACTAATATCATTACACACACTTTGTGGATCTCTTAGATTTTGCATAATTATAACTTGGATGGAAAGAATGAAAAAAGAACACTTACCTACAACAGCATTTGGCTCAGTACCAAAGGCACAAATACAAGGCGAGCCTGAAGGAACCTGAAACTTGGAGAAGCTCCATTTAGAACTGAAATATTTCGGAAGGAAGCTTGCAGATGCTAAACTGCAATTACAAATAGGTGAAAAATTAGCTACTGTTCATCTTACAAAATGCACAATACCCTATTCTCCACCTATTACAAGTGACAGCAGCATTTCTTCATAAGAGTATCTTGGACCCAGGTTTGTTTAAAAAAAATCTGCAGCTGCACACAACACTGAGCAAATAATCTGCAATATAGGTAATTCTACACATTGTAAACAATAGATCTATTCATGTATTAGAACATGTAAATCAAGAAAGGCCTTACTAAGGGGACTGGAATTCTAAAAAGTGAAGAAGTAATTCCTTTCAAAAAAAAAAAAAAAAAAGGGGAAAACAGACACAGATATTTGCTGTTGATGACTGGCTTGGAAGGTAGCACAACTTAAATAGTAATCTAGGGAATACCGTGGACAATTCAACACTACGTTGCCATGCCTAGGGCTAGCAGCTGAGTTGGTCAAAAGAGGACCAGTGCTATCCAGGCAACCTCAAAAATCTGATTAAAGAATTGTTGAATGCTCCGAGTAAAGAACAAGAAATAAGTAAATACTTCTGAAAGACTACTGAACTGTTTGCATTCACCAGCGACTTCAAAAATTAAATATACAGTTGTGTGCCTGTTGAACAACTCACTATCAATGGACTGAACGATTTGGCATCCATCATTTGAAAGTGGATCTGGCAAATTAAAATTCTTTTTTTCCTTTATAATTTATCCTATACCTGTGTCTATCAGTGTGTCTGAGAGACAGTGGGTTCAAATTGAATCCTAATTAGATTATCTTGTTTAACTTTGTCCTGCTAAACTTACAGTACTAATAATAAATGGATAATTTTTGCTCAATTTATAAACTTGGTGTCTAAGATTGTTATTCATTATGCCTAGTTAGGAACAAGTGAACAATCGAGGATCATTGAATAGTTTAATTTTACTATGTTGCAAATCCAGTGGTAGAAAGCCAAACCAAATCAGCCAGACTATCACTGGTTGTAGCACAAGGTATTGCAATGGACTTAAAACAAGGTATTTCAAATGATTAAAGGGATCGAAAAGGGTCAATCCAGTGAAACTATTTTCTTTATTGGGGGAAGTCTACACCAATCAGGAGACAAATTTAAAACTAGACCATTTTAGGGCAAAATCAGGATGCAGCTTTTTGCACAAAAAGGTAGTAAAAATGTTGCTAGTTTCGGGTGGTTTGTGAAGTTTGTACAAAATTAAATTTATGATAGCATTGCATTTGTTTTCTTAGGCAAGGTGTCAAGGAATATGAACAAAAAGCTAGAAAACTGAGATACAGGGCCAACATAATCTAATTATACGGAAGCCTATTCTTATACTTGCACGAGCTGGAATTGATTTTTTTTCCCGAAAATGCTCAGTGTCCTTAGATCGTGGAACAAGACTATTGTGTACACGTCATCGTTAATTTGTTTGCATTTCAAAATACGCTTCTGCTTAGATCACAGAATTGTTGGAGCAGAAGGCAGCCAATTGGATCATCTGGTCTGCAGTCTATAAATGCAAGGGGTTATTTGTTCAAAAGGAACTAAGTTGCTTGGTAGATCAGTTTAACCAAAACACTTCTGGAGACAATTTTGCAATGATCACTAAAATTTGATTTAATCAAATTTCAGATTACGACAGTAAACAATAATTTTAAACTTCTACTTGTCAATTACCTGGATTGCTTATTTCTTTTTGGGTCCTCAGCAGCAAAAATGTGAACAGTCCCATGATCACTTGATACACAGATTAAAGATGCATCTTGATTAAAATTAATGCTGCAAGGCAAAAATATCTATTAGCTGCAACAGAATGAAATCTCAAATCATAAAAAGACAAAAAGAATGCTTAAATAATGGAGTGTCAACTAGTTGTATATCTTTAACGGAAGGGCAATTGTGTATTTAGTTCCTTATTAACCTACTTGCCTCAGGGAGGAGAACCAGTGAAGGAAGGAAAAATGTGCAAAACAATTATGCCACAAAACAACTTAAACGTAAATCAAAAGAGGAACTAGAATAACAAAAGCAAACAGCATTTTCAGCTTATGCCAGGATATGGCAAGATGAGAACTGATGCAAAGTTAATCTGTAATATTTCCAGTATTTCTCTTTTGATTCAGCCTTGCTTTTTCTAGTGTACATCAGCCAATCAGGTCAAACAGTAAACAAGTAAGCCTTGTTCAGATGATAGATGGTACAAAATGACAGGCAGTTTGCTTGGTACGTGGCTGCTCTATGAAATCTGGAGCTCAAACTAATTAAGAGACTCACTTTAGTAAGTTGTTACAAGACTGAGCTTCAGCTTTCCACAAATATACTAATTCTGCTTTCTCATTACCTACTAGTTTCTGAACTTCCACTACTTTTAATCAATGTTAGATCTCTGACACATTATGGCATTGATTAAATATTGTTCAGTTCTCCTATAAACCGAGAGACACAAAATTTGATTAGTTCCATAGTCTCAAAATTCAATCCAATTATCTCCATTAAAACAAAAACTTACAAGCGAATGTTCACCAAGATATTCTGCAATGTTGTGGTATTCTAGTCAAATGCATAGTGACAAAATTAGGGATGCAGTGTCAGTATATCCCGAAATGTCAGCAGCATATTTGACTCAGTTAACATTTTAAATAGATAACTGGTGCAATCTCAAATTTCCCCAAACACAATGAAACAGTATGCCATGAAAGCACAAAGAGAAAAAAAAGAAATTGTGGCCCTTGAGTGAACATCATTTCCACATGAATTAGCTTAGTCTATGATCACGTGAACCTTCTATAGACGATTGTCTGAAACCCCATTATTGAATATATTACCATTCATTAAGTGGAGAAAAACTCCAATATAATTGCAGCGGGATCTAGTTGTTCTTGTGCATTAAGCACAAAACGTCAGCGTGCAGGCGCAGCAATTAAGGCAGCAAATGGAATTTTGGTGTTTATTGCTCGAGGGTTCAAGTGGATAAAAAAAGGAAAGTCTTATTACGACTGTACAGGGCGTTCATGATGTCGCATCTAGGGTACAGTTTAAATTCAAAGATCCTTAGGCAGCACCTATCATATCCATTACCATTTCTATCTAGAAGGACATGGGCAGCATATACATGGAAACACCACCACCTGCAAATTCCATTCCAAGACACACACCATCTTACTTGGAAATATATCATCATTCCTTCACTGGGACAAAATCTTGGAATTCTCTTCCTAAGGGCTTTGTAGGTCAACCTACAGCACATGGACTGCAGCAATTCGAGAAGGCAACTCCCCACCACCTTCTCAATAGCAACTAGGGCTGGGCAATAAATGCTGGCCAGCCAGTGATGCCCACATTCCACACGCTAGTAAAAAAGTTTTGGTGCCCACATTTAAAGGATATAGTGGCATAGGAGGATGTTCAAAAAGAGATTCACCAGGCTCAGGCTGATTCCTGGGACAAAGGGTTGACTTATCAAGACGGATTAAACAGGTTAACTATTTGAAAAATGGAAGATTCTAAGGGGAGGGTTGACATGGTAGACACTGAAATGTGTGTCCATTAGTGGGGCAACGTCAAACTAATGACCTGAGTTACAGAATAAGGGCTCATTTAAAACAGAAGCCAAGGAGTTTCTTCTCTTAGAGAATAGTGAATAGCTGGAATTTTCTGCTCCAGAAAGCTGTAGAGGCTAGATATTTCATCTCATAAGAGTTGAGCGTCTGTGGGGGCAGAGTGCATATTTAAGGCTGAGATAGATAGACTCTTGATCAGGAAGAGAATCAAAGTTACGGGGAAAGGGCAAGAAAATGGAAGTGAGGAATGCTGGATGAGCCATGGTGCTATCGAACGGCAGATCAGGCTCGAGGGGCCAATTGGCTTATTTTTGTCCTATTTCTTATGGTCTTGCACTAAATATTTAAAAAAGGAGGTAGATTTTTGTTTTTGTATATACAGGAGTTGTGGGGGTCTGATGAGTTAGCACAAAAGATGAGTTGAGGACTGGGGTACATCATCAGTGATGATCTTATAGAATTGTGGGGCAGGCTTGAAGAGCTGAATGGCCTCCTCCTGCTTCTACTTATTATGTTCTTATGCAGGCTGACTACATTTTACTTGCACACTCCATGATGGTCAGCGAAATTACAAACAGACCGATTGTGAAGCACAGTCTTTGATTTTTGGAGCAAAAAGATTTCATAAACATTTGCATAGGTATAGATTCACTAGCAAAACTGATCATAAACTACAGCCACAAAAAGAAAGTCTACAGGTCTGACGGCACCTACGGAAAGAGAAATAGTTTCAAGTCCAATATGACTTGTCTTCAGAACTAAAGGGTGTTGGAAAATAATGGTTTTAAATGCTATTGACAAACAGGGAGAAGGAGCAAATGAAACAGATGGTGAGAATTAGTAGCGACTAAAGGAGATACACAGATTATAGAATAGATGTTAATGGCAGGTGCAGATAATAGAAAAAGTAGGTCAGAGAGCAAACCCCCACAAAATGTGACACCGGCTGCATTGATGGGTGGATGAATGCAATCAAAATGGAGGACAGCATTCATATTCTGAAGGAGTTGAACTCAATGTGGAGTCCTGAAGGCAGCAAAAGTGCCTAAGCAGAAAATGAGGTTGCACTGGGCTTACTTGACGATTGCAGCAGCCCAAGGACAGAAGTATTGGCACGAGAGCAAGATGTTGCCATTTTAGTGTAACAATGCAAGGTCAGAGTCAGAGTCAATCACATAGACAAAACAGAGGTGTTCCATGCTTTTAATCGTGCCAAACTAGAGAAGACTGCACTGTGAGCAGTGAATACAGTAGGCTAGATTGAAAGTAGGATATTTGAATTATAGCAATACAAATAAATCACTGCTTCACCTCAAAAGGTTTCTTCAACAGTGAGGAAGAAAGAGGTAAAAATGGCAAGTGTTCAAGGGAGTAGGATCTTTTTCTGCCATTTCTTCCACATCCACCAGGATGTCACAAACAAACATGCTCCCCCTGCCCTTCCGAGGTCAGCTTTCCACATAAAGGAATCCCTCTGACACATCCTGGTCCACTCCAATTTCACTCCTAACACTCTCTCGCAATTCCTCCCACCTCACCCACAGCACCTTCTCATGTAATCACAGAAGGTAAAATACTTACCCTTTCACCTTATCACTCCTCACTGTCAAAAAGGTCCCAAGCACACCTCTTGGAGTACTTCTTTCAATCTAATCCACTGTATTAGCTGCTCTTCATGTGGTCTCCTTTACTTAATCACCCTTTCTTTGAGAATTTTAAAAGGAGATCCAATGTGTCCTTTACAGCATCTTGCAAACCCACAATGTCTACTAGAGGCACAAAGGCAGCAGAGGCATGGGAATATCATCAATTGCAAGTTCCCTCCAAGTCTTACATCATCTTGATTTGGAACATTAATCATGGTTACTTCGCCGTCCCTGGGTCAAAATCCTGGAACTCCCTTCCTGATAGCACTGCAGCTGTCCCTACAACCCAAAGAATGCAGCAACTCACTATCAATCTCAAAGGAAGTTAGAGATGGGCAATATCTCTAGCCTAGTCAATGAGATCCACTTCTTAGAAGCAAAAGAAAAATTCTCCTCATGACAAAGTCATCTTTTGGGTTCATGGCAGCTAGCATCAAGTAATCAAGGGTTTGTTATCTGCCTTGCCACACCGAATACTACTTTTACCTTTAACACCACACAAATCAATGAGTTGTTTTGGAAGGTTTTTTCCTTCCTCTACCAGGCAGGTATGATTAACTTGGGTCCGAATGAGGTTTTCCCAGTCAAACTGGCCTGTGCATACCTCTACGGACTTGGTCGAAATTTCAATGTAATGTTTCATATCCGGTTGTCTTGAGAAAACAAAATCATATATAGTAACAGTTCTACATTTAAGGTGGCTGTAATTCTTTACACAGAATAGGTATTTTGTAAACTTCAATTAAATTGCATTTGAAAACACAGAACACCTTCTCCTGGTCTGCAGGTGCGACCACAATCTTCTGGTGGCCTTGCATTTTATTTCTCTAATTTGCTGTCACGCTAATATCTTTGAAACAATACAACTGGCCAATGGCAATGAGACTCAACGTAAGTTTTGAGGAACAGCATCTCATCTTTTAATTAGGACTTTATAGCCTTCCAGTCTAAACATGAAGCACATCAATTTCAGACTGTAAACCTTGCTCTCTCCTCCCCTCCCCTCCACAGTTCATCCCTAAACTGGATTCCTTCGTATGGCAAGGTTGCTCTTTTATTTTCTGCTTTCAAACAGCAGCACACCTGGTGTAAGCTTTGTTATGTTTTCTTTCCCTTCCTGCCTCATCAGTATTCTCGTTAGCTCGGGTAAGACTAACCCTGCTGAGATTCAATCTGTACCTTGCAGCCTATCACAGGCTTCCCTTTTGTCCTAGCCTGACCTAGTCCTTGCTGAAAACTACTACATCTCTAAATTTTCCCAGTTCTGGTTGAAGGGATCAACCTGAAATGTCAACTGTTTCTTTCTTCATGGTTGCTGCTTGATTGGAGTATTTTCAGCATTATGTGTTTTTCAAATCAATAATAGCTTGGATGTTTTGAGCATTTTTTGCTATGACCAGTATCTACTAAGATTCAAGGGAGTGTTTTAAGAATGCAGATTATTATTTTTTTTTTAAAGAAACAAAAAGCAACAGCAGCCTTGTTTAATTGTCAATCTTTTGGAGAGAGATTGGTCCCAGACTCCACTCTCCATGCAACTGAAAGACCTTCTGAAACTCCTTACATGCCACTTCCACTGCAATGTCCCACAAAGAAATCAAAAAGGTTTCAAATTTATTCCCTCTCAATTCTCCTTGTTACTTACGTACCCCAAAAACGCTTTAGCATCCTTTTATGTGCTTGATAATTTCATTTTTCCAGTCAAAAATCAATTTATCCACACCTCAATTTATGGTACCTCTTGGCAAACCATTTTTTTTTTTAAAAAAAAAATATATAAAAAGGTAGCAGGAGCACAGAGTTTAAACATCATTTTAAGTGGATAATCCAACAAAAAAAAAAATTTTAAAATGCCAAAGAAGTTGACATCAAGTAAAAATATTTGAACTTGGAAATCTAGAATTCAACAAACTGGCCTCCAGTATTCAATAGTGGAGGAAATATAAACATGCCCGAAAAATAAAAGGGTATATTAACATGACAATATTAAATAAATATGTTCTATGATTGGTAAATAACTGCAAATGTCCGAGTAAAAAGGATAGATTTAAATGCTACACAAAAACAAATCAGCTATTTGTAGATGTTGATCAAGCTAGATGTGCATTTGGCAAGATTTTTTTGTGACTTATGACAATTATTGAATGGATGATGCACAAAGACAAAGACATTTTGTAGAAGTGGACCTAGACAGTTAATGTCAATAGCATTAAGTGACTGATGCAATTGCCTTTTACAAACAGAATGCACCCATTCTGACAGGATGTAATCTATCGGTTTGATTTAGAATGATGTTCGGGGTGCACATTATGAATCCGTGGAAGTTATAATCGTTTAGAACTAAAATCTGCTGCAGAAATAAATAAGATTAAAAAGAACATTATTCTCGGAATATGTTCATCACAGTCTGTGCATCTTTCCTGGTCTATATCTTTCAGTCAGATGAAAATTGTTGAGTCATTCTGAGATTTAGCATTGGAAAAGAGCCCAAAACATTTTATTTTCATCAAACAATTTATGCCTTTGGTCAAACTAAATATAACCCAAAGCACCAACTCTGAATCTCAAACACCCTATCCTTAGAAAAAGGACAAAACTCACACAGCCAGAACAAGTTAAATCATTGCTAAGTAGTAGAGTTTTAAACATACCAATAAATGTTTGCTGCTTGTGATCCCCTTCGCAACTCTTGGATGAGCTGTCCTGTGGTAGTGTCAAAAACTCGGACCAAGGTTCCCTGTGTAAAACAACAAACTTTCTATAGATGGACATATTAATCATTTTTAAGATGTTTATGGTGTGGCGCAGGGAAAGGAGGCCTGGGTTGGGGGGCGCAAAAACAAAAAGGTGTTACAGAAAGAAGTGTTGTACAGTCATCCGTCAAAATGAGGGTTCAGAAGACACTTACAAGGATGTTGCCAGGTCTGCAGGGTTTGAGCCTGGAGAGGCTGGGGCTTCTTTCCCTGGAGGCCAAGGGATGGCCTTAAAAAAGAGGTTTATAAAATCATAAGGTGCATGGATAGGGTCAATAGCCAAGGTATTTTTTCTATGGTGGGGGAGTCCAAGACTAGAGGGTATAGGTTTAAAATAAAAAGGAGAGAGGGGAAAGACTTAAAGACCCCATGGGTAACTTTTTCACGCATTGGGTGGTGCATGTATGGAACGAGCTGCCAGAGGTGGTGGAAGAGGCAGGTACAATTATTTCATTTAAAGGCATCTGGATGGGCACGGGTATAGGAAGGGTTTACGAGGGATAGGAGCAACAGATGGCAAATGAACCTATGTCAGATTCGGATGTCTGGTCAGCGCAGGAGAGTTAGACAGAAGGGTCTGTTTCTGTGCTTTATGACTAGGACTTTATAAGATTAACTAACTGTCCACACATCACGGAGCAGGGCAAGTAGAAAAACTGAACACGGATTTACATCAGTCGTACTCGACCTCCACACATTTAACTGGTACAGAATTTCAATAGTTTTAAATATGCGTTTCAGGTGCAAGCAATACTGAGAAGACAAACCAAATTTGCCTTTAAAAACAAAAAAGAAAATCCATCTTAAATATTACGTACAAAAAGTCAATTTGAAAACCTGACTTCCAGTGGTGCACCTCAAATCAAATACTTTGATTCTGCTTGTAAATTCTATTTATAAACCGAGTGATAAAATATCTGCTACATAGAGAGTTAGGATGCAATGTCAAGTTCCCAATCAATAATCTTTTGCTGTATTTCTTGGAGAACGGGACTGTTAAGCTGAATTTCTAAGATGTTTATTGTCACCACAACTGCAGGGGGCACCATCACTACCTGTTGCAGTGCCTGTGACATTGCTGCCAGTGACACCGCAGCAAGGTGCATGCGAAGAACAGCAGCAAAACAGGAGTGTTTCTCATATCCTGGAATCACGATTTGCTCATGGCACCACTCTAAACACTTACCCACCCTACTCCTAGCCCCTCACTGCCTCACAGTAAACCACTGCCGACAGCGAGAGCGCAAGGTAAGATAAAGCAGTGATATCTAAAAGACTGACTTTTTTAAAAATCTTGCCTTTTCTGAAGCTGTGGCTATACGAGTCCCCTGAAGATTTAAAGCAATACAGCTCAGAACTCCCTCATGAGCAGGTATGTCAACTGGAGGCTTTTCAGTGCTGGCAAGGTCCACTATTTGCACATGCCCAGTGTGTGTTCCTGGAAACGCGAGAAGGGAATTGTTGCTGTTTGGACAAAGGACACATAATCCTGGAAGCAACAAAGAGGAGATGGGACAAAACAACAATTAAGTCAGGTTACAGGGCATAATTTCATTTTGCCAAAATCTCGAAGGTAAGCTTTTAAAGAAAAAATGTTTAGTTTTAATTCCAAACACAACATATACATATTAAACTCAAAAAAACTGAACACATGTAAAAGGGCATTTATCTATATTAGGTATCTTGGTCAAGTCTCTACTTATTTACCAAGCCTTTTTGAGGTCAATTTGATTTAAAGTATAATCATCAACGGTCCTCTGTATAAAACTTTAATGTGGAATAGCATTCCATTTTCAAAATTCTAAAGATTTCAAACAACACTGCTTCCAAACTGTATGGGTCATCAGCAAAATCCTCTTGCATTTCCAAATACCACCACTCTTGGTATCTACTTTTTAGCCGAGCATCAATGTGGCCAATAGTTTGCATCTATCCCATAAAACACATACTATTTGAAATCCAGCTGGGTAACATCCACACTGGCAATTCATGCATCCTATTTGCAAGTCTCTGAAAAGAATTTCACAAAATTGACGACAGTTTATTTCCCCCTAATTACTGGCAGACTTCCAATTATATGGCCCACATATTTATAGGACAATGCAGTAATTTTGTGAATGATGCTTCAATTTACTTTGAATAAGTCACAGGACTGGAGTTTAAACAAACAAAAAGTAAACCTTATATTAAAACTCAACTAGAGGCAGATGAATGACCCAGCACTTTCACCACAGAGCAGTTTGCACAGGAAATAATTTCCTTGACCAAATATTTTCAAAACAGTTAAAATTCTCAAACTTACCAAACATCAAATGGGATAGTAAATGGGTTATTCTGCACTGTCATATTTAAATAGTTTCAAAAATAAATTCTTACAATCAAATTTAAGTGCAAAAGAAAAATGTTGCTGGGCAACTTTACTTCGTTGGAAATCTAGCTACAAAAAAAAGGGGCAAAGTTCAAGAGTATGGCAAAGAGATAATTGAGTAAACAAATTTGTAAATATGTGCCATTCTTGTACAGCTACACCACAAAAACAAAACAAATTTTACCAAATATAGGTGCAGAAATGGTTTTTAAAAATATAAACCTAAAATCAATGAATAATTTGTAACTACTTTTTGCTCGGGACCTTAGCTGCAGAAGGAAAAAGCTCGAGAAATGCTTAATGGCCTGCACGTATTGTGATTCAGATTTACAGACAACAGGAGTTCAGAAAGGTCATTGTTGTTTGCTAATCGAATAGAGAGGGTGGGAGTTGACTTTGAGAATAATATGCATGTTCATTACAAGTATGAAAAGAATTAAGAGGTAAACAATTTCTGGCACTATAATCAGAGGAAACAGGCAAGATACAAACGTCATATTCCTGCAGTGGTGTACGGGGATAGGCAGCTCCACCAAATTTTGTCACTTGCAAAATTCACCACAAAAATGTCAATCAATACTTACATATCCTGGATTTTGTTGAAAACTAAACATGAACGTGGTCGAATTCTTTACTGCCACAGTTACCCATAGAAAGGAGCTCTCAAATTTGTAACAATGAAAATAAAATCATTGATACAGGAAAGCTCAGAAGGAATGCTGGCCCTGAACCCAGTAAACACCAACTCACCTTTTGGGTTGTAGCAGGTTTCAAAAACATGTAGCTGGTGAGGATTGTGAGTGAATGTGAAGACTTTAATCATGGAATCCAGAACTACTACAATTCTGTTAGAAAAGAAAGGGAGAAATAGCAATGCAGGTAAATGTTCAACTGTATTGTAGAGTTTCCTGAAAGTCCAGGTCAACAACCCATCAATTAAGTAACTTCCAAAAACAAAACATTGCCGATTATCTTAGCACTACTTTCATGCATCGAGGACCTCTTCTTAGGGCCCTTTCTCTTTCCTAGAGATCACAGGGGAACCACGTACAAGCATCTCCACAGTGAGGTTGTTGACTTACTTGCCGAGCTGGCTTGTTTCCTTTCAGGCATTTCATCACCATGCTAGCTAACATCAGAAGCGAGGCATCCGATGAAGCGTTTTTATTCTACTCCGCTTGGAATTTATACTGTCCGGTCTGTTATGGCGAGTAGTGTCATTTCCGTTTTTGTTCTGTGTGGGTTTGTAGAAGGGGTCCAGTTCTATATGTTTGTTGATTGCCTAATGGGTTGGGAACCACATAGTTTAACTGGGACAACATAACTGTAGTAGCTCAAGCCAGACACAGACACACGGTTCCCAACCAATAAGGCAATCAACAAACATATAGAATTGGACCTCTTCTACAAACCCATACCAGAACAAAACCGGAAATGACACTACTCACCATAACAGACCGGACAGTATAAATTCCAAGTGGAGTAGAACAACAAAGCTTCATCGGAGGCCTCACTGATGACGTTCCTAGCATGGCGATGAAACGTCTGAACGAAAACAAGCCAGCTCAGAGAGCAAGTCAACAACCTCACACAACCCGAGCTACAAAATCTTTGCTAAAAAAACTTTATGCGCTTCCACAATTGCAGATGTCAGGTTGATGGGCCTGTAGTTCCCTTGCTTGGATTTGTTATACTGTTTGAAAAATGGAATCAAGTTATCACCGCCATCTAAAATGGAATTAGCCTATATTATATTCAGTGAAGTTATAAGCATTGTGAAAATGAAAACAAAAAAAAAAAAAAAAGGTAAAAAGACCATATTTCAGGACGCCATTTAAATTTCTAAAAATTACCTGTCTCTCCGTAGTTTAACTGCTTTAACTTCTGTTGAAAATTCAATTTCAATAACAGTCTTCTTCTTTAAATCATCCCATATCATTACTGTAAAATACCACAGCATTTCATCATTTCTACAACATGAACTCAAATCAATCCCATAAGTTTAATAAATTATTCTCCCTTACTTCAGGATATACAATTGCAGATGACAAGTAAACTTGGGATCAATCTTACTTCCTTACTTGTCACATTTCCCCTACGTCATCATCCTTCTGTTATTAACTCTTAGATCACAGAATTTTTTACTTCGACTCTGTCCCAAACATGTGCTTTAGTTCATTCCTTTCCTTTGCCTGCCTTTGTAACCAGATGCACCTTCATTCTGGTCGAAAGGAAGGCCTGCCCAAAAATCTCTCTCAATACCTTTGCCAGATCTGAGCATTTCTAGCTTTTTATTTTAAATTTCATATCTCCAGCATCAGCAAAATTTTGCTTTTGTCTTTCAACTAAATCTTAATTAGCTTCCAGAGATCCTTTTAACAAATGGCTAATTGTGCATTGCAGCAAAGAAACAGAGGTATCAGAGACTGTTATGGTTGTGGAATTTCATTCCATCAAATTTTGTTTGTTGGATATTTTCACACGATTATTTTTAAAAATAAAACTTTTCCTTCCCTCAAATCCAATTTTCTTGCCCCTCATTGTTTTTCTCTCATTAGAGTGAGACTACCCAATTTGCTCTTGCAAATAGCCAAAGTAGACTCAATAGGCAGAACTATCTCCTTTGATTCCATGCAAATAAATAAACAATAGTCAGCCCAGATGGGACACTCAAAAAAAAAAAGCCAGTCAATGAAACAAAAACTTATGAAAAGAAAAGTTGTCAAAATTAAATTAAAATGTCATTTTGGGATGGTGATGCACCTAGCTCGTGCCACCCATTTATCACAGAAGACTTGTACAGTTCCAGTGGACTTTGCAAGTTGTCTCTCAGTGACCACCCGAACACAGACATAGAATCATAGGAGATATCTGAGCTTATGCTTCTGATTTACACTCCTTTCTCAATCCTTGTTCTGCTTGTTCACAATCCTTCAATCTGACTAGTGAAGAAAATACTTGATTGCTTTCCATTTCATTCAGGACCCATGCTCACAATCGCAATCAGAGGTTGGTAGCTCACATTTCTAAATTACAGCACAAAACACTGTCAAAATAAAACTACGCCAAGATACATGGAGGTTAAACAGGGATTCTTCCCAAAGAGTTTCCAAAAAGCCAGAAGAAATTCTCCAATCACAGGCTGTTTCTCAGTCCTATTTGCCATGAATGCAGACACAGAGTCTATTAGCAGCAAAGTTTGGAGAAATGCAGCCTAAAACTGGAGGTGCAGTGAAAGGCGAGTCATGACAGTGAGCAAGGTGCTGGGTAATAAGTAGCAGGTCTAAATAAGGAATAGGAATCAGTGCAGGCTTGGTGGGCCGAAGGACCTGTTCCCGTGCTCTATTGTTTTTTGTTTATTGTTCTGTATGACTGCCTAGCTTATCAATTCCAGATTTTTATCAAATTCAATTTCCACCGTTTTCCACAGCGAGGTTTGAACCTATGTCTGCAAAACATTATTCTGGGCTTGGATTACTGGTCCAGGTGTCATTGCCACCGCCCCAATTGTACTTGGTCTCCAAGTATTACAAGGATATATTAAACAAATTGGGTAGTTTTTCATGGAATTTAAAAGGTTAAGTGAAACAGATAAGGTAGATAGAAAGAAAATATTTTCACTAGTTAAGGTACCTAGGACTACACGGTCGTGGTTTAAAAATTAGACCCAGATATCTAGGGGCAAACTTAGGAAACATTTCTGTACAAAAGGAACAGGTGAAGTGTGGCATTCTTTTCGGCAAGTGTCCCCATGATGTATCAACTGTAAATTTTTGATCTCATACTAATCAATTCAAGAGATTTGGGTATATTGGATTAGGTCATAGTTCAGCCATGATCCCAGTGAATGGCAGACCAAGCTCAAGGGGCAAAATGGCCTTCTCTTATTCTTTTATTCACAGAAAGTGAACACAGCAAGATGCAAGAAGATTCACAACTAAAAATCAGTGCAACTTGCCTTTCAAAACAATATAATAATTAACACCATGTATTAGCCTGCATTTTTAGGTAATCTTCTGTGGACCAAAGACTTTCAAGCAATGGAATTAAAGTTGTTGTTGATGTCCAAGACAGAATCACTTACAGTTTTCAATCTGGAAGAAAAACTTCAATTTCTACGCTATTTGCATTCTAACAATTTTTTTTTTTAGAAAGACAAACCAAACAGATTTAAATCACGGCATTTAAGTAGCTCGCTTCAATACCTACCTGTGGACAAATGATTAAAAATGTAAAATTATTTGTGATCCAAGTATTAAAACATGCATGCATGTCACTATGTTAAATTTCTCATACCATTGCATTTTTAACGTGTTCAGGCTACATGTGGAGTAACAAATGGTCCACTTCCTGATTTTAGAAATTTCATCTTAATACATAGCAATAAGAATCAGTGAAAATACATTTGGTACATGGTGTATGAAAATACAAATCCAGATAATTCTGCATCAGAAACATTAGACAAATACAATTTCTGAAAAATTTTATTTATGTGGATAACGCTGGCAAGACTGCATTTATTGCCCATTTCTAGATGCTCTGGTATGAGGTGATCTTCTAGCGATATTGGTTCAGCAATTCTTCAGGAAGTATCATCAGCTACTCTCGAATCACAATACTTGAAGAATTGTACTGAAACAGTTGGGTTTAAATGTAAATCTGGTGTATTATACAGTAATTTTCTCTGGTTCCAGGACATCAAGATCGCGATTTACTATGGTTAGATTATGACACGGAGTTGCCAGTCCAACAGCATAACTACTACACCGTTGTAACCAACTTAAGTTGCATCTTCAAATCAAGTCACAAACCAGTTTCAATATGGCACAAGTATTAAAACGATCTAATCACAAGGGGGCTAATTCTCAATATCATATTTCCACTGACCAAGCTATACCTTTATTGGGAGGATACTTGGGCTTTTTACCACCTCCAACCAAAGCTAAGTAATTACATCGAAAAAGCATTTCAACATGACCAACTCCTCCTTCCATGAATTCTGTAAAAGAAAAGAAAAATTGCTCAAATGGTGGACAACAGTCAGATCTACCAAAAAGAGTGGCATAAATTAAACTAAGAAATAATGGGTAACATTCCAACCTAGAAGACACAAGTTCTGGGTTTGAGCCCCATCCCAGAACATTTTTTGCATCACAATATTAGTTAGACCAGGAGGGATTCTTAGTGAACTGAGAGATAAAGAACTGTGGAGCCTCTGCCATCATTATCCATATTTCCCGAATTTAACTTGCATGTAAAAAAAAAAAATGCATTTTGCTACAGCAACTCTAAGTTATCTGTAACACACCATCACCATCTTATACCAGAAGGCAGTCAGATTGTGCCTGTACAAAAGTTCTAAAGAACTTTTGCTCATACTCAAATGCTGTGATTCAAAACAAAGTGATAAATACCATTATCTTTTAAATCAGCATATTGCTTAAAAACTATCATTCTATGTTGGTTAGTAATAGGGGTCAACGTTGTCAGTTGACAGTACTATTTTCTTCAAAACAAATGGACACTACATCACTGTGTTACAGGTCAACAGCAAGAAAATCAGACGATGGCCGATACAGGTCAAGAATGGAGCTTTGTTGAGTGTGGCGGAGGTGGGGGGAAATAGTTTGATCACACAAGTGCAACCAAATACTTTATTTGCTGCTGTCAAGACAAGCCATTCAAGACTGCAGAGACAAGATGGTATCATCCTTCATCCTGAAATTATCTTTAAAAAACAATGCTCTTCTTGATAAAGTGGTTCACATCCTTTATTAAAGCAGTATTTTCATATTAAAAATAATTTAGACCCTGGAGAGAAAAAAAAAAGTGGTGGACAAGAGAAGATCGTGGCTGAGAGCTGCTCTTGGTTTTGAGGTTTATTCAGCATTACTCACTTCCTTGGGGCAGTAATTGCAGTTTTTTTTTAAATGTTTGCAATTTTTTTAAAAAAAGTTCCAAAAACAAAAACAAAGATACTTTAAAAAGGAAGGAGAGAGAGAATTTTGGGAAAGTGACCACATGGCAAGGTCGGAGACTAAGAAATTGCACAAGGGGCTCTGGATATCGGGTTTCACAGAAATAACAAAGAAATAATGCAGTTTCATACCTGATGATGTCATAGGTCTAATATCCAGCTTCCGTGCAGCTGCGGAGGTATCAGTGATTTAGCAAAAAAAAAACAAAAAACCACTGCCCAAAATGACAGAATAGGATGGCTTTGGGTTTTTGACTCTGATCAGCTAAGTGTTTGATTTTAAGACTTCTAAAAAAAAACTTCAATTTTTTTTGCAAATCTATAGCAATGAATAAGGTAAGGGCATTTTTGTTTATGTTTATGCTGTGATCTGTCTCCTGATTGACTTTTTATATTATGAATTGGTATTAAATTATCCCAGAGCAGTAGGACTGTGCTAACGCTGCACTTTTGAGCAAAGTGTGTTATGTTTGTTTTTAAGGTAATGTCTGGGTCTGTAGATTGTTAAAGGGTCAGAAATGGCTTTTAGTAGGGTGATGTGCTCTTCCTGTCAGACATGAAAGATCATGGAGAATTTGAAAGTTCCTGGAGACTATGTCTGCAGGAAGTACGTTTGGTTGCAAATCCTATTGGACCACATGGATCAGTTGGATTAGCAGTTAGAGGCAACGAGTTTACAAGAGCAAGAGGATGTAATGGTTGGCAGTTTCAGGCAGGTAGAAAAAATTAGAGATACAGTCAGATAGACGGTTGTCGACTAGGAATGGTAGGAGAGGTAGCCAAGTAGTGCAGTCGTCTCATGACTAACCTGCTTACAAACAGCTATCCTGTTTTGCATACTTTTAGGGGTGGTCTCTCAGGTAGCACTGACAGCCAGGTTTCTGCTACTGGCTACCTCTACTTTAGTGAGGTGTATACGTTAGGTTCCACCCGATCAATTCTAATAGATGACTCTCTAGTCTGGGGCACAGACAGATATTTCTGTAGCTGTCAACAAGACATCAGAACATTGTGTAGCCTCCCTTGTGCCAGGCTCAAGCATGTCTTGCAGACGCTACAGAACATTCAAAAATTGCAGGCAGACCAGAAGCAGGTCATGTTGTTGGTACCAACAACATAGGAAGGGAAAGGGTCACGGTTCTGCAGAGCAAATATAGGAAAGTAGGCAGGAGGTTAAAAAAGTAGGCCCTTGAAGGTAGTAATACCTGGACTACCAATAGTGCCACGTATTAGTGAGAGTACGAATAAGAGGATAGAGCAGATGAATGCGTGACCGAGGATCTGGTGCAAAAGGACAAGGATTCACATTTTTGGACCAGTGGGATCTGTTCAGGGGTAGAAATGACCTGTATAAAAGAGGAACGGGTTCCACCTGAATTGGAAAGGAATCAATGTTCTTGCAGGGAGATTTGCCAATGCTGCTTCGGAGGCTTTAAACTAGTATAAGGTGGGGAGCGGGGGAGGGGGTTGGGATGATAGTGAGCAAAAAAAGACCGAGGCTGATACAGTAAATAAAGGGGAACAAGTCAAATAGTCAAGGCAGACAAGAGCTCATCAGAGAACAAAAAAGGTAAGATTGATAAATTAAACTATATTTACTTCAATGCAAGAGGACTGACATGTAAAGCAGATGAACTTAGGGCATGGTTGGGAACATGGGACTAGGACATCATAGCTATTACAGAAACATGGTTCAGGGATGGACAGCACTGTCAGCTTAATATTCCAGGTATAGCCACTATAGGAAGGATAGAAAGGAAGCAAAGGGGGTCGGGGTGTGGCCTTTTTGGTTAGAGATAATATTAAGGCTGTACTTGGGGAGGAAATTTCTGGGAGACTGTGAAGTTAAATGGGTGGAACTGAAAAATAAGAAAGGGATGACCACCTTGTTGGGACTGTATTATTAGGCCCTCATTAGTCAGCTGGAAATGGAGAAACAAATATGTAAAAAAAACGAGTTCTGAGTTATATGCAAGAACAATTGGGTTGTAATGGTAGGGGATTTTAACTTTCCAGGCATAAACGGGTACTGTCATAATGTAAAAGGCTTGGATGGGGGCGAATTTGTTAGGTGTGTATATGAAAACTTTTTATTCAATGTGTGGATGTACCTACCAGAGAAGGAGCAATACTTTACCTTCTGTTGGGAAATAATGCACAGCAAGTAACTGAGGTGGTAAGTGCATTTGGGACAAGTGATCACAATTCTATTAATTTTAAAATAGAAGTGGTGATGGAAAAAGGATAGAACTGATCAAAAAGTTAAAGTTGTAAATTGGAGGAACGCCAATTTTGATTGTATTAGACAGGAACTTTCACAGGTTGATTGGGGAAGGCTATTTGGAGGTAAAAAGGAATGATTGGGAAGCAAGAGGCCTTTAAAAATGAGATAACGAAAGTTCAGAGACGGTGTGTTCCTGTTAGCGTGAAGGGCAAGGCTGGCAGATATAGGAAATGCTGGATGACTAGAGAAATTGAGAGCTGGGATCGAGTGAATCCCTGGGAGGCATATCAGGGCAATAGCAGTATACTGAAGAAGAAAATCAGGAGAGCAAAAAGGGGACATCAGTTAGCTTTGGCAAACAGAGTTAAGTGGAATCCAAACAAAGTACATTAAAGAGCAAAAGAATAACTAGGGACAGAATAGGGTCCCCTAAAGATAAGCATGGCCATCTGTGTGGAACCACAGGAGATGAGATACAGGTATTTCTGCTATTCATTAATGCAAATTGGCTGTAATGTGATTGATGAATAATGGACGCTGTTTGGATAACGCAAACTGTCTGCTGTACAGGTACAGCGATTTACTGTAGCGTGTATGGAACAAGGTGGAGGTGGAAGCAGGTAGAATTACAACATTTAAAAGGAATCTGGATGCATATATGAATAGGAAGGGTTTAGGAGGTATATGGGCCAAATGCTGGTAAATGGGACTAGGTCAGATTAGGATGTCTAGTTGGTGTGCACAGGTTGGACTGAAGGGTCTGTTTCCATGCTGTATGATTCTAAGACTCTATGACCTTAATTATGAAAACATTAATCTCAAACTCAACAATTGTAATATTTGAGAAAGCAATAGTAATCACAAATCTGCATTACCTGACTGGTGAAACGCCTCACCTTGTTTTTCCTTCTCCTTTAGTGGGTCAGTGTTATAGACTCGGAATCCATTTTCCATTCCACATGCAAAACAACCTGCAATCAAGAAACAAAAACACTGAAAACATCCATGAAATGCCTTATACTGAAAAAGGACATATTAATTAAAACCACTCTTTTTAAATGCAGAGTATTAAGCAGACTTTTCAATCACAAAAATTGAAGTAAATTGGTCAAAGCATTTCTTAGAATCTAAAAATAACTTAGTAAAATTGATTAAATTGGTTTCCCGAAACAAAATATTCATACCAAAGACTGCCTCTGGCATTAACTGGAATAATTACTGTCTGGCCAGTGACGCCCTCATCCTGTGCACGAATAAAGAAAAAAAAAATTCTAGGACGTACTGCATCAACAATGTTGCTATTCCTTAAAATACAGAAGATTACAGAGGACCTAAAAGAGACGTTTAAGATGATCAAAGAAGTTGATAGCCAGATTGCAAGAAACTTTCCCCCTTGGTAGATGTTTAGAACAGTCTCAAAACTGAATAAAACCGAAAGAACTACGGATGCTGTAAATCAGGAACAGAAACAGAAGTTGCTGGAAAAGTTCAGCAGGTCTGGCAGCATCTATGAAGTAGAAAAAAAAAATCAGAGTTGACGTTTCAGGTCCGGTGCCCCTTCCTCAGAACTGATGGTAGCTGGGAAATGCTGGTTTATATTGCAAAAAAAATAGGGAGGGGGATGGGGTAGGGGGTAAACGATAGGATAAAGCCCAAGGAGAGAAGAGTAGTTGGATAGACAAAGGAGTTGGTAACGATCCGGCTAGGAGAGTGAATAGCTGTTAATGGGACTGTTAGTGACTAACAACAGGTGGTGTGTAATGGCAGGCTATGTGATAACAAGGCCTGGTGCGTGGGGTAGGGGCTAGGACATGGGAGAGTTTGGGCCCTAAAATTATTGAACTCGATATTGAGTCTGGAGGGCTGCAAGGTCCCCAAGCAGAAAGTGAGGTTTTGGTCTTTCAGCTTGCTTCCAGCTACCCTACACGCTTCTTGTGGCCCTCCAGACTACTCTTCTCTCTTTGGGCTTTATCCCATCATTTACCCCCTACCCCGTCCCCCTCCCTATTTTCTGCAATATAAACCAGCATTTCCCAGCTACCATCAGTTCTGAGGAAGGGGCACCGGACCTGAAACGTCAACTCTGATTTTTTTTTTGTTCTTCTTCATAGATGCTGCCAGAGCTGAACTTTTCCATCAACTTCTGTTTTAGTCTCAAAAATGATCTCACTACAGACACGTAATCTGATGTCCTCCACCAGGATGGCTTGAGGGCTTTCATTTCTTCCTCGCCACCATTTGATTGAACTTGTTCTTGCATCAATTAACGAATCCTTTAACTTCACTCACTGCCTTCAAATAAAAAGGGTATTACTACGGAAACCCTTAAGGGTCACAACCATACCTGTCTTTTTTGTGGGATAGGAGGAACATTCTTTGTGACTGGCCTATTCAGGTTTCATCATGCACTTCTTTCTTTATACACTCAGGGCTGTTTCAATGCTTCTTCCACATGAAGCAGTTACTTATTGGAACATCTTTCAATTTAGTTTTATCTATTCACTGTTCAGTGTGCAGGCTTCCAAACTGGAGAAACCAAACAGACTGATGGATAGCTTTGTGGGACACCTCAGTTTAGTTTGTAAACGTAACAGGACAACTGTTATTTTAATCCTCAACTTTTCTCTCACATTGATGCAGTCTAAGAGTCAAGGACAGAAATCAAAGGACGCTCAACACAGACTAGAGGAGTAGCACCTCAACTTTCCAGTAGACATTTTACAGCCTCCTTGACAACAACAAATTCAAGAATTTCATTTTACTACCGATTCCATTTTTCTGGACACTATGCCTCCCCCAGACCCACTGTCTGTTTTCTGACTTAATCCATCACCTCACCTTGTCCTGTGCAATCATCCTTTATCTCTCTTCCTTTACACCAGGCTTTCAAGCTGTTATGTAAACGGTTTAAGCTCTGACCTTTTATTAGAACTGGAAAAGGATGTTGAGCTCAAATATTAACACAGTTTCTCTCTCCATATATCCTGCCTGATCAGAGTATTTCCAGAATATTTTGATTTTATTTCAGATTGCCAGCATCTGCAACATTTTGCTAGACAATAGTATTAAAAGGTTACGGTAGCAACAGGGTGGGGATGCCTCCTTCTGGTTCTGTAAATGATTTAGAATGCACCAAGCCATTAGGAAATGACTACAGATGCTACAGTTCAGCAAAACAAGCACAGCATAAGCATGCTTCGAACACTGATCCTCAATCCACTAAATTAGTGGTGCTCAATAGGTTAGTCATTAACCATCACCAACGTGGGTGACTCTTAACTGCCCTTTGGGCAATTAGGGATGGGCAATAAGTGCTGCCTAGCCAGCAACACCCTCATCCCGTGAATGAATAAAGAAGCAAAAAAGAAAAAACAATGGCCTAGTGGTGTTATCACTGGACTGTTAATCAAGAGACTAAGATAACATTCAACAGCAGACAGTGGATTTTGAATTTAATAAAAAAAGTCTGGAATTAAAGAATATAGTGATTACCATGAATCCATTGCCAGTTGTTGAAAAAAACTCATCTGGTTCACTAATGTCCTTTCGGGAAGGAAACGGTCAGCCTTACCTGGTCTGGCCTACATGTGACTCCAGACCCACAGCAATGTGGTTGACTCTGGGCAACTGCGATGGACAATAAATGCTGCCTAAAAGCGACATCCCATGAATGAATAAAGAACAGTGTATTTACACAGTATATTCACGATAGCAAGAATGTCTCAAGGCACTCCGTGAAAGTGTTCATTAAAATTAGTCAGACAAGACTAACAGGGAATCTAGATGTGACAACTCACATAAACGAAAGCAAGAGTTACCATCATTGAGCATGTGGATGTCAATATTCATTCATACAGGACATTCATGTGTACTTCAAGATTTTCCCCACTTGATCAGCACTTCATCGACTGAATTAAGCATCTAACTTTTTCAGCAACTTTCCAGATTCTTTGATAGGTGCTTCCTAAATCCACAACCTCCACCACCTAGAAAGAAAAGGACAGATGCATAGGGACACCATCATCTTCAAGTTTCTATCCTAAGTCACATATCGCCCTAACTTAAGATTGATATACATTGCCAATCCTTCACAGTAGATCAACATGCTGGAATTCTGACCTAACCATATTGTAGGAGCAAACTGCAGATGACAGCCCACAACAAAATACTGCAGACACTGCAAATCTGAAACAGACACAGAAAACGATGGGAGAAACTCCAAGTCTGGTAGCGTCCGTGCAGAAAGAAACAGAGTTAATGTTTCAAGTCTGATACGATTCTTCTTCAACTCTGTTTGCAACACAAAGCACAATTTGGCTTGCTGGTCTTGGCAACAAGATCCAGACCTCAAGTATAATTCGGTGTATTAGTAGATTTAGATCAAGACCTGTACTCAAAACAGGGCTGCTCATCTGTTTTCCGCACTTACATTAAGTTGAACTGAAACTGGACCACCCTGAAAACAACCATGTAACACCCCATCAACATAAACTGTTTAAATATGCATGGAAACGAAAATCAATTTTTCTTTAGTTATATCTGAAAGAGCTCAGAAAAGTAGTTCCAGTGTATTTTTATTTCTTTATGCCCATATTAGTTTCTCAAAAATTGCTATTCTTCACAGCTCTTGTGAACAAGCATCTCCATTATAAGATGAGTTAGCAGCCTGTTGCTTCTAGTCACTACAGGCTTCCATTCTAATTAGAAGATGCCCATTAACAACTGTTTACTAATCCTCTCAGATGCCAACTAGCAGGGCATAGTGCTTACAGCTAAGTTTGCAGGTATAGCCAACTGCTTATTCAGCAGACTCAAAATTGCAAAGGAAGCAGCAAGATCTTCTACAACAAGGTTGGAGTTTTAAGTTTTGTTGATTATTTACTGAAATATGAAGGAAAACTTAACATTGAAAGGTTTTGCCTGTTCCTCCACCATCTTCCTTACTAGACACCAAATTCCGAAAACAGCTATTACATTGTGCACGGTTCATTGCTTTCTCCAGATGGCGTCTGTCACACACAACAATTTCTTAATTATCTTGCTGACTAGTTTATTTATACTAGGGATGTTAATTTAACTTTATAGCTGGCAGTTGCAGAATACTTCCTGTATTTACTAAAGCAGTTCAATTAAACCTACAATTGAAACAAAAAAAACTTAGAACAGCCTCACACATATCTATTTGTGCTTAGAATATGTCTGAACTCGTGTTAGTAATCGACAAAAGCACTCATGATGAGCAACAAACACAATGAAACAGCTCAAGAGCATGTACATTGTCACTGTGCAACTGGGAGAAGGAAGAAAATAAAGCCAAGTGAAAGGTTAGTATATTTTTAAATAAAAACAGGAAATTGGCACATGCATTACATAGAAATTAATGCATGGACACTGCCATGTACAGTTAAGGCTTGATTGCTCAGCAGTTGTACGATGGTATGAAGGATGTGTTGGCTATGATGGATTTGGAAAGGTTACTAAAAAGGAACAACAGCGGACAGGCAATGGCAAACATTCAAAGAGAAAATTGGTAAACTACAAAAATTGTTTATTCCTGTCTGGTATAAAAGAGTGCAGAGAACAGTAGCCAAACCACAGATTATGAGGGAAGTTACAGAAGTATTAGATGCAAAAACAAAAGCCATACAAAATAGGCAAGAAAATAAAATAGACCTGAGGATTGAGAATACTTCAGAAGTCAGCAAAGGAGGGTCAGGGAATTGATCAAGAAGGAGAACACAGAATGTGAGAACAAGCTTGCAGGGAACTTAAAAACTGCTGAAAACATTTCTACAAGCGTGTGGAGAGAAAAAGACTGGTGAAAACCCTTACATCCATTATAGTCAAAAAATGGGAGAATTTATAATGGGGAACAAAGGAATGGCTAACAAGGTAAATTCATAATTTGCTTCTGTCTTCATAAAGGAAGACACAAATTGTATACCAGAAATAACAGACATCACAGGGGATA